AGGGGCAGATTTGTTGGCTGTTCGTCCACAACTGCGTACGATGGATGGTGTACACGGCATCATAGCCAGGAAGTTGCTTAAATATACCGTTCAGTTGTGATTCTCGTTTGGTTAATTTAAATATGCTGTCTGACTGTCAGCCTCTGTAGCGGCCGAAAACATTGAGGTTGACACACACACACACACACACATGAGCGGATAAGAGACCTGAAGTAATTCTCCAATTGATTTTAGCGCGTTTGCCTCCCGACCGACGAGATACGAGTTCGAAATTCGAGTGTGGCGGCAATTTCAGCGTCTGCAGTAGCGTTGGCTACCTCTAGCTGATGACAGCCAATAAGCCAGAAATAGCTATTCTACAGTTGCCTGTCTACGTCTCAATACTATGACGGGACAGAGTTTTTACCCACCACAAACACACGCATAAGCATAAAAAAGTATAATGGGCTACAAACATGGACGATCTGTTAATGCAAAACAATGACTAACTAGTAAAGACAGGATGCTTCTGTAAAAGGTGTCTCTGAAGCAGTCTCTCGGGTGTTACAACCCACTGGAGTAGGCATAGTCCATCGACCTCAGGCGCAAGCACGCTGCCATGTGGTGCAACCTTAAGACAGAGTCAGCCCTACTGACATCTCCGCAGTTTCCTACAAGATACGTTGTAACGAAAAGGACTGCAATTACGTTGGAGAAACCTGGCGGAAATGGCAGACCAGCCTACATGAACACGAACTGGCACCTTGGAGACTGGACCCAAAGTAGCGCCTTGACTTTCTTCCATCTGTGTGTGCTGACTCGGCCTCGGGGCGAACGCAGCTTCACAGGAGATGCCTAATCCCCGTTAAGACGCGTAGAAACCTCCACCAAAAGACAGCAGGCTGTTATTTAGTGAAGGAAAACAGAAATACCCGGTCGCTATAAAGCGCTTAGAATTAATACGACCTACCCGGCGATGGGTCGCGATCGGTTGCTGGGCAACCTGGACACTGTCATTCTGAGTCCGTGC